TATTTTTAATATTCAGGTTGTACTTACTTTTTTTTTTTTACCACCACAGACGGCCCTAAATCCTGAATTGTGTTTGGTATATGCAGGCCATTTTGTGTGCGTATCAGACTGTTGCAACACGTTGCTGTTTATTCCCATATTAACCAGGTTTTTAATATAGGAGAGCTAAACTTTTTTTCTTTAGAACTAGCTTTTTAAGATTTTTACTTTCAGCCCTGTTCAGTTAGCTCATTTGGTTGGAGCTTTGTCCCTATAGCCAAGGATGTGGGTACCCGGTCAGGGTACATCAACCTTAAACACATAAATAAGTGGAACAACAGACATCCCTCTCTCTCTCTCTCCCTTACCCCTCTCTCTCTGAGATCAATCAATAAATTAAAAAAGCACAGAGCATTCCTGCCCTGTCAACCATCAAGGACTCGTGATTTTATTGTCCAGCTTTCTTGCTGATTTATAGTGTTTCATTCTTTCTCTGTCCATTTATTTTTCTGATAGTCAGCCGAAGTCACCTAAAATAAAATGCCAACGTGCAGGTTCTAGAATGAGAGTTTAGCTGTCGGCCAAAGCCTTCTTCATTGTCACATGCTCAGATGCAAAAAAGGGGGTGCGGGGTGTGGCAGCAGAAAGAAAGCGTGTGAATAAGAGGAAATATGGGCTCTCTGTGTGTCGTGGCTGACAGAGGACTGATGGCAGTTCCGTATCCCAGAGAAAACTTAGTCAGGGACCCTAATGACATCGTCCTGGTCCGAAGAGGCCATCGTTCTGCAAACATCGGTGATGGGCCCGAGCCTCAGAACCACCTGCGGGTGCAGCTGCGCTCGTCCGCTCGGCTGTGGGCGAGGGAAGCTCGGCATTCTCCATGGATTTCTGGTTCTTTAAAACAATTTCCTACCCGCTTCAATATTTGTCACATTTTCTCCTCAGCTCCCCTCTGTCATTTTTGCCGCTTTCTTTCCTTCTCGGGCGTATGAAGACATCCATCCTACTTGAGGAGATCATCAATAAAAATAACCTGGCTGGGTGCTGTGATTAGCCAAGAACAGTGACCCGCCTGGCCCGAGTGTTTGCCAAGTCGACATCCCCTTCCTTCCCTGCTAGCATTTCAGATGTCACCAAGTGATTTTCACATGATAAATGGGGAGAAATTTTCAGCGGGCAGTGGGGACTTTTTANGCATCTAAGGATATTAGAGGGGTGGAGAGGCCAGGAAAACGAGTTACATAAAGTGGCAGTGAAATAGGATTCCTTTGAGGTTAACTGAAAACACAGGCTACTTTGTGAGTTGAAAACAAACAAGGCCATTCCTTTCTTTCCACCTTAGGTCAAAATTCCCTGTCTTGTGCAGTCAGTGTTAATCTCTCAGGATCATAATATAATTAAGCATGATGTTTTTTTCAATATGGGGTTAAAAAAAAAAGGAAAGTACTTTAGGTAGGATGACTTTGATAGGCAATGCTTTTGTCACTCACAGGTTATATGTTACAAGCCATCTTATTACTTTGAATATAAATAAACATAAATATCCCTGTGTCTGCCCCTACACTGATTTAGGTATTCATTGAATGCCTGCTCCATGCCAAGCAGAAAGATACACGCCCTCCCTTTAGAACTTTACAGTCTCTTTGGGGAGATAATTTAATTGATAGACAACTGTAATTCAGTGTAGTATGTTTAACCTAACTCTTCTGTTGGTTCAGTAGCTTGATTTATTTCAATTTAAAAAAATGAGTATAGTATAGACAACAATACTGTATTATAAACTTTAAAATTGCTAAGAGATCTTAATTGGTCCCGTCACAAAATAGATATATAACATGATAGAATTGTTAGCTAACCTAAGGTGGTAATCATATTGCAGTATATAAATGTAGCAAATCAACATGTTGTACACCTTAAACATGCATGTTATATGTCAATTATATCTCAGTAAAAATACATTTAAAAAAAGAGGAGTGTGGCCCAGCCCTTGCGCCTCAGTGGTTAACCATCCGCCCATGAACCAAGAGGTCGCTGGTTCAATTCCCTGTCAGGACACATGCCCAGGTTTCAGGCTCAGTCCATGGTAGGGGCATGCAGGGGGTAGTTGGTGATTGATATTTCTCTCTCACTGATGTTTCTCTCTATCCCTCTCCCATTCTCTCTCTCTAAAATCAATAAAAACATTTTTTAAAAATTAGTGTATATTTGTATAATTATATCTCCTATTACTTTAATGATTTGAGGTTACAAGGAGATGGAAGTATTTTTCCCAGCAACAGTCAGTGATCTTTTATAGTAGAAGCAGCCCATAATCTACCATTGTGTATTTATTTGTACAGGGTTTGTCTGTTTTTAGCTTGTGCATTTCAATCTACCTTGTGAACAAAACAAGGAACCCCCATTATTACCTCAGAGTAGTTTCCTCAACTAAACTATTATGTTTGCACACTTTTTCATTAGGCTTATTAAGAGATACTAATAAAATTAATCTAGGCAATAATTTTAAAGTACAGTATTTAAATATATATGCTGTGTTTTCAAAAATTCATTTGGAAATGGGACAGTAGCATTTTAATAGTAATTTATATTTTGATCACTAGATGGCACTAGACACATATGTATAACTAAGGGGAAAATGGCCTTTCTCAGCAGTTGTTTCTAAATACAGCTTAGTATATAGATGTTTTCAGCATTATATACTATAAATATTTTGTTATCCAGCCCATAAAATTCCTATTGTTACAAAAGCTTTGTTTTCTGGCCAAAATAATTTCACAATATGACTCTTTTATATAATAAATTCTGAGACACAGCCTCTACCATCACTTTGATAGTTGCTCATTAAACTATTCTGTTCTTAGCTACTTAATTGTATTATTTTATCTTTCTTAAATTGACCCTATCTTACTAGTACCCTCTTTTCCGTGAGAAACAGAATATTTTAATTTTTTAAAGGTTTTGGGATTAAAAAGCTTTAAAAAATTATATAGCTTTGGGGATATTGAGAGAGCCTAGAGATTCAGACACAAATGTCCCTCCCTGTCGAGCAAAATACAAGAGGAGCACAAACTACAAACTGTTTTTGTTCTCAGTCTCTTGGCTTCTGAATATTATTCTCATAGTGTAACATACTCTTGTTTTTTCGGTCTGGTTATGATTGATTTTTGCAATGCATTATTTTCTAAAGAGAGATGGTCTAGGTTGCAGATGAGTGATATCCTTGATGTTTATGCTCTTATTAAAGCGAGTTATTTCACATGACCTGTAGAAGTCCAGAATTTGGGCGGTGCTTCCAGCAGTGGTAAGTCAGTGTCTTAGCCAGAGACCCAGTGATGTGGTCAGGGACCGGGCTCCTTTCAGATTTCCACTAGGCCGTTGCCGGGATGTCAGGCTCGGGCTTTGTGTTGGAGATAGCGGAGGCAGTTCAAGGTAGAGCATGAGGTCATAGCAACGTCAGAATAGAAGAAGGGGCGTGTCCTCCTTTGTAGACTTCTTCTTGTCAGTGGTGTACAGGACTCCAGAGAACCCCGGCAAAGCTCCCCTAAAGTCTCACTGGCCATTCCTGGTCTCCCACCTGCACTGTCCTCGGCCACTTGCTGGCAGGGGAAGGAATTACCGGGGTAGGTTAGACTGAGAGACTCGTGCCCTTCCTGAGCACCCAGCCCTCAGCGGAGAGTGAAACCTCAAATGAAATCAGTGCTTTCCAAGAGAGAGGGGGAAGTGGATTTGGGCAGGCACACAACAGTATTTACTACCATTTCTGGGTTTGTTTCATTTTATTTTGCTTTTTCACTTAGAGACTCTTCTTTTTCCTGTCCTGATATTCTTGGAATGTAACTTTCATTTCTGTTATTTCAACTGCATGACACTGTACAGAGTTTCAGGGGTAGCCTGTGTCTGTTGCAGTTTATCATTCAGTACAAGCTCATTCACATTTTATTTCATTTAAGCATATGTTCTTTTCCTAGCAGTTAAAGAAAGTGAAAACTTGGGTTCTCTTTGTCTTCTTGTTAGTGCTAGCATACCTGGAAAACAGCATCGGTAAAGTGCTTTGTGGACTTAGTAGCATTTCAACCACATCTTCAGTTGTCTGCCAAGTACCCACAACTTTTAAAGCACCAAGCAGGTGCATCTGACCTGACTTTTGGAGATATTGCCATTGTCTGCCTTGGAGCTCAGCCTCACCCCTTGGACTGTCTAAACACCCAAAGGGGCAGAGTCAGCAGCCCCAGCTCAGTGATTCAGGTTCTTCAGCTTTCATTGTCAACTGCAGTGCCTTCTGGCCTTTTCTGACTTCTTTTTCCATTGGACATCTCAGGGCCTCTCAGAGGCTGTCTAGACTAGCTCTTCTAGTCTGAGTCCCATCTGAAACACCACCACTGTGACTCTGAGGAACCCAGCTCCCTTCTTGGCTGCTTCATGCCAAAGATGTGTCTTTGGTGCATTATCTGCATATTTATTTGTTTGTTTTCTGTATTTAGCAAATATATGCTGAACGATTAAAAGAAGATTTATTGCCCTAGCTGGTTTTCTCAGTGGTTAGAGCATCAGCCCACAGACTGAAGGGTCTCAGGTTTGATTTTGGTCAAGGGCAGGTGCCTTAGTTGCAGGCTCGATCCCCGGCCCTGGTCAGGGAATGGGTGGGAGGCAACCAATCAATGTGTCTCTCTCACATTGATGTTTCTCTATCTTTATCTCTCTCTCCCTTCCACCCTCTCTGAAAAGCAATGGAAAAAATATTCTCAGGTGAGGATTTAAAAAAAAAGAATATCAATCGATATTTCAAATGTAGTAAGGTTTTCTGATTTGAGAATGCTCATTATATTGTTTATATTTTAACAGTTTATCAGTTCTTGTTAGGCAGCCAAAAATATTCTCAGCGGACATTTTCAACCATCGTTATGTTTTTAAGTAAGAGCATACGCATTCTTAAGAAGCAGTACTAACTACTAGGTTTTTTTAATCTATACTTCTGCTGAGTCAAAAAAAAGAAAAATCTCCTTGAAATTTTTATTTTTCAGAAAACTGTGGAATATATTTTCCAGAAATAAAAAGAGATCCAGGCAAGTATTTACACAGTTGTCCCGAATCTGTGAAAAAGTGGCTTCGGCAGCTAAAGAATGCTGGGAAGATCCTTGTATTAATCACCAGTTCTCACAGTGATTACTGTAGACTTCTCTGCAAACATATCCTTGGGTAAGTGATGAGACATTCTCTTTTCATGGTCTTGTGAAATACTGAGAGCAAATTAGGCCAGTGCTTTTTAAAAAGTAACCCACTACGACCTTATCATTATATTAAACAACGCTGAGTGGCAAACAGTTGTTTCTCATAACATCTCTCAACATCTGCAACATACCCCAAGTACGTTTTAGCAAAGCAGCGTTCCTGGGGTTCAGTATGCTCATAGCTCACTGATGATCTGGGCTTTAGATTTTCTGGAGGGTGGATGGGGCACATGTCCTTCATGCCATCTTCCGTGCATTTTGGTTTCTCAGCTGGGGATGGTTACTGAGCGACAGAGCTGTAGGTTATACTCCTGATGGGTCACTGGAGTACAGCCCCTCTGTAGCCTTTTCAGTGTGGAGCCATATACGTACTTCACCATTTAGCGCAGCCAGGGATGGGATTGACTTCCATGAAAATCAAGGCAATGTAAATGCATAGACTTAAAAATAAGACAGGATTCAAGCCCTGCCTTGCAACTTACTGTGATCTGGAGCAGGTTTAACCTCACTGAGCCTCGATTTTGTCTCCTTAAAAATGGAACAATAATGCTTCATAGGTCTGAGGGGATATTTATATAGCTTAGTACAGGTAAAGTATTAGGCAGAGCAGTTGGTAAGTTTCAGTGTGTGTTAATACTTATTTATGTCTAATACTTATTTATTTATTCTTTTGGGCAGTACCAGGGAATCTATGGTCTGGATGTTTTAGACTCTTGCTCTGATTTCAGCAAATACTGGGAGTGGAAAGCAAAAACTTTCAAAACTGGCCTCTGGCCTGGGTCGCGGGCTCGATCAATGACTCTCTCATCATTGATGCTTCTATCTCTCTCTCTCTCTCCTTTCCTCTCTCTGAAATCAATAAAGATATATTAAAAAAAAAACAACAAAAAACTGGCCTCTTTGGCCTCCGGCTCCATGTTCCTCAGCACATGTGGGTTTAAGTTGGTCTTTGGTATCCTTGCAGCCTGGGAGTGGATGTTCTGCTTTCTGAATAATACCTACACTTCAGATTCTTAAAGTGAATTAAGGCTGAAGTCCTAGATGTCTTGGAAGGTGCCTCTTATAGAGACCTTCACTCTCCCAGTGGTGGAACCGTGCCTCAGAGTGAACACTCTGGAGTCTTAATCTCTCTTTCATTAACAAAGAAACCAAAGTTTTTTCTTCCTGTCTTTTTTTTTTAATTGATTTTTGTTTTTTTAATTGATTTTTGTTTTTGTTGTTGTTTTAGAGAGAGAGGGAGGGAGGAAGGGAAAGGGAGAGACAGAGAGAGAAACATTGATTGGCTGCCTCCCCATATGCGCCCCAACTGGGGATCGAACCTGCACCCTGGGTATGTGCCCCGACCAGGACTCGAACCCGCAGTCTTTTGGTGTGCGGGATGATGCTCCAGCCAGCTGAGCCACTCAGCCAGGGCTTTTTCTTCCTATCTTAATTTCTCTTTAGTATGGTTTGTATTTGTAAAAGTATTGGGGAATGTTGGGTAAATAGTATCTCCCCAATGCAACAGTGAGTCCCTCAAAAACAAAAACTACCATTCCTTTGCCATCCCAAATAATCCTAAACATAGCATTAAATACAGACTGAAAACAATTGTTATCTACAAGTTGCCACATTATAAGACTACACTGATTTTCAAAATAAAGTGTCATCTTCACATTTTGAACACTTTCTGAAGGCATAACTTCGAATATTTCTAGCTATTAGAAACTATTGAATTCACTTACTGTGACTATTACTATCCTGAAAAAGCTTAGCACCTAGAGTTAATGTGCTCATTCTTTTCTTATGTTTATATCAAGGTGTTTTTCAGGAATACTAGTGCTAAGTCACCTTTTATTTCCAGTGTAAGATTTACCTTATAAAGCATGTAAAAGGTTAATCAGAAATTAAGAAATGATGGTGTGGTCAAGTAGATAGGTGAAAATTAAGTTCTTTTTTAAATAGACCATTTCTAATTCCTTAAAATAAATTTTTGAGAATCCTGTTGCTTTTCAGGAATGATTTTGCAGATTTTTTTGACATCGTGATTACAAATGCATTGAAGCCTGGTTTCTTCTCCCATTTACCAACTCAAAGACCTTTCCGGACACTCGGTAAGTTACATTTTGGTTTCTTTCTTCTTCTGTTTAAGAGTTGTTCTTTCATTTATTCAATAAATAATCTGCTGGCTAGCAACCATGTGCAAAGTACCGTGTTAGGAGGTTTTGTGTATACTGATATGGGATATCTACGATGTATGTTAAGTGAAAAACAAAGGTAGAACAGTATGTTAAATATACCACCATTTTATAAACAAAAGGAGAAATAAATAAGAATATACTGATGCAGTATTTTTAACTTTGAACTTCTTCATGCCACTTAAAAGCCCTTTTCAGTGCAAGGCCGTAGACAGTAGCTTAGTTCTCTGCTCAGCGAGCAGCACACAAGCAGTGGAATCCAGGTTAGGTTCAGAGTAGTAGGCGTCAGGCACTGAGGGATCCTCAGTGCACCAGACAGACGCATAAACAAACCCATGAGCAAGGCAGGAAGTCCATGAGGTCGTGCTACATGTTGTGAAGGAAGCATCCGCCTGATGAGGCCACCGCGAGTGGCTGGCCAGCAGAGGCCTGTCCAGAGGTCAGGCAAGGTGACTTGCAAGGAGGGACCTGAGGGGTGAGTCATGAGGAGAGCGGAGGATGAGTGATCCTGGCAGTGGGACACACTAAAGCAATGACCCGGTGTAGGAGAAGTTCGGCTGAGTTCCAGTGACAGAGAAGAAGCCTGTGGTTCTGGCACATGGGCATGGGGAGAGAGGGCAGGAGTTCGGGAGGCAGGCAGCCTCCTACCCTGACGGAAAGGGCTTGGGCTTTACGCCATGAGCAAGCTGAAGCTCTTCAGTTTAGGTAGAAGTGATGTAGAGACATCTTTGGCCGCTGGGCGGGGAATGGGTTGGATGTGGAGAGGGACAGAGAGGAAGGCCAGGCACTTGCAGTGTCCCAGGTGAGAGATTGTGGTGGTTTGGTCTGAGGCAGCAGTCCTGGAGATGGCGAGAAGTGCATGCAGGGGTGGGCAAGAGTAGGTTTACAGTTGTGAATACATGAAACACAGAGTTTATTCTTGTCTTTTCATTTAATTATTTTCCATATAAACAACTGTAAACCTACTTTTGCCCTACTGTGTATATTTAAAATACATTATAGAGGTAGAAAACACAGGACTTGGTGATGCTTTAGAAGCAGCAGATGAAAAGAAAGGAGTAATCGAAAATGTCTTTCAGGTTATTAATTTTTCTTTTTTCTGAATTGAGCAGGTTGGTGCATGGTGATACCACTTGCAGCCGTGGGGAAGAATACAGAAGAGAAGTTTGGGTGGAGTGGGGGTTACAACTATTGAGAATTCGTTTTTCAGCATATTAAGTTTGAAATGCCTAGGAGTTGTGTAACTGGAGCTATCAATTAGGAAATTGTATAATGAGCCTGGAGTCCGAGAGAACAGGGATAGGCTCAGAATATAAATTTGGGAACCATCAGCTCATAGAGTGGTATTTAAAGCCGTGGGCTTATATGAGATCAAATATAGAGAGAATGAGGGTAGACAAAAGAGCCAGACCAAGCTTTGACACACTCTGACAGTAAGGGTAAAGAAGAAAGAGTGTGATCTGGGAGCAGACAGATTGTAGTGGGGGGAACAGGAGAGTGTAGTGTCCAGAAGCCAGAGAGGAAAGGGGAGAGTGGTCAGCGAGGACAGTGCTACTGAAAAGTCCATTGGAGTGGGCAAGACGGAGATCACTGGCGTCCTGATGAGCACTGGTAGAGGTAGGGACAGATTGCAGTGTTATGAAGGTAGTGGGGCCAATGAGTATAACCAACTCTTTCTAGAATTTTAGCTGTGAAGACAATCAAAGAACTGAAGTTTTAGCTGAAAGACAGTAACCCAGGCATGTGCCCTGACCAGGAATCGAACCGGCAACCTTTTGGTGCATGGGACAACACTCAACCAACTGAGCTACTCCGGCCGGGCAATTTTTATTTTTTACGCCGAATATATTATGCTAATGAAATGGTCTAGGATAGTGGTGTTTACCTGTGAAACTTTTCCTCCTCTGGGCAAATTTGGCAATGTCTGGAGACATTTTTGGTTGTCACAGCTTGGAAGCAGGATGCTACTGGGTGTCTAGTTGGTAGAGGCCAGGGATGCTGCTAAACAGCCTGCAACACACAGGGCAGCACCCCCACTACCACCAACAAAGAAGAATATTGTCCCAAATCTCAGTAATGTCAAGGTTAAGAAAGGAAGAAACTGATGGTAGAAAGGAAGAAATTGATGGTGGTTTTATATATGGGTTTAACATCTTATATAAATCCTTGATATTAAGAAACAATCTGTCATGAGGGAGTCGAATAATCCTCTTTGTATTAAACTAGAAAAAAATTTAAATGTTTTTCCCCTCTTCACAAATGTGTAACTAGTCAGTACTCAATAAATTTTTATCTGCAGAGTTTTCCTATTTTGTTCCAGTTTATACCTGTTCTATACTTATACTTATTCCATTCTGCGGAATTAAAATTTCTATTAAAATTTTACATACGCAGGCCTGGCCAGTGTGCCTCAGTTGGTTAGGCACCCTCCCATGCGCCGAAAGGTTGCAGGTTAGATTCCCGATCAGCACACATGCCCGGGTTGCAGGCTCGATCCCCGGCGGGGGGCATGCAGGAGGCAGCCAGTGGATGCTCCACTCTCACATCAACGTTTCTCCCCCCTCTCCCTTCCTCTCTCTAACAATCAATAAAAAATATTTTACAAACACAAATATTACCGACTTACATATTTGTTAGCACATGTAGTAGGCGCTCACTGAGCCTCCTGCCCCCGGGGGTTCCCTCGCGTACGCGTCTCGCAGCCGAGCTTGAGTGCGCTGCCCAGCTGGGTGCTCAGCTGACGAAAGGATGTGTTATTGTCGCACTTTGTTTTCAGAGAATGAGGAAGAGCAGGAGGCACTGCCGGCTCTGGACAAGCCCGGCTGGTACTCCCAAGGGAACGCTGTCCACCTTTATGAACTGCTGAAGAAAATGACCGGCAAACCTGAGCCCAAGGTATCTGCTCGTCGAGGCGGAGCCCTCCGTGCCCGCTTGCGGACGTGAACTCCTACTGACACCGTGACTCAGTGCAGTTAGCTTAGTTGTCTGTGGGAAAGTAATGTGCCTCTGCCTGTCTCCCAACCTGTTCGCTCACCTCGTCTGTGTAAATAAGCCCCTCCTTTGTTGATGAGACCAGAGCACCAGATCAGTGTGTGGGATGCCCAAGGAACGATATCCTGATAACAAGCCCTAAAAGAAGTTCTTATATATAAAATAAGCAGTAACTGAAATTACAGTTCAGACTAGCCTAAAGACATGCTTGTTTTTGACATCCTGGTCACATTGTTGACGTTGGACATTGGTGCATTTTTAACAGCAGGACCTTTCATCTAAAAAATGTTTACCGGGAGCCCCCTGAGCAGGAGAGATGGGTGGGTAGCTGTGCTGCCCCACTGGCTCCCATGTTGCCACAGCCTCCTGGGAACTCCTGAGGGGTTCAGTGGGCAACGCACCCTGACTTGCAGATTCTAATTCATATTCCCTTAACCGCGTGTTCCCATCTGTAAAAGGCGTGTGGACTAGATCAGTGGATGTCTAGCCTCGGAATACCAGGGGAGCTTCCCAGAGTCCACTCCCCCTACCTCATTCTCAGGGATTGTTTCAGCAGGTCCACATGTAACCCAGAAGCTCTTTGGAGGAGTGATGGGCACTCCTGCTAACCTAGCCCACTGTAACAAGTCAGCTGTAATAACTCACCAGTTCTCAATTCTAGGGGCAGGTTTAACTGTAAACATAGACTCTTGCTTCTTTGGCAAAATTGCACACAATCACTTATTTTCTGCCTTTCTTCTACCTGCACATGCATTGTATAACTTCTTAAAATAAGCCTGGCACCCTGCAAACCAAATGGGGCAAGTTGATGGTCACCTATAAAGTTCAAGGAAATGTAAGATGTCGATGCATCTTCCAGAAGAATTTCCTTCTGCCTTCCGTGAATGGTGGCCGCTCTTTCACAGTGCTGATGCCTCAGACAGTTTCCTCTCTGACTTGCAGGTTGTTTACTTTGGTGACAGCATGCATTCAGACATTTTCCCAGCCCGTCATTATAGTAATTGGGAGACAGTCCTCATCCTGGAAGAGCTCAGAGGGGACAGAGACTGGAAGCCTGAGGAAGCAGAGCCTCTGGAGAAGAAAGGAAAGTATGAGGTAAGGGTTCCTTGTAGCTCTTTCTTATCTTAGAAGGTGTGTGTTTGTGCCAAAAGAGATGAACTCTGTTGGCAGTTACGTGGTCGTGCTATCTCAGCTCCATAGTTGATCTGGTTGGTAATTTTAAAATGATGCCAGGATATCACAGGTCAGCCTGTCGTCCCTGCCCTCCGCTCTCAGCCAGTGCCGGGGCACCATGGACGCATTTGGGGTGGTGCTGAGGCTGCCAGGTGCTGACTCACTGTACTTACTCTGTCTCTTTTGCTTGGCCGTGAAAGCCCTGTGCTCCCTTTGTGGGTCCAACCTAATTAAATTGGTAGCTCCTTGAGACTTACTCCTGAGCCCCCAGAATGAACTTAGGTGAAGAAAAGTAAAAGATTTCATGAATCTAGAAAGGGAAAATAGTGTTTAAAAGCAAAAAGAAGCAAAATAGGAGATCGGGAAAATAAAATCCATGTTTATAAATTCATTCTAGTGGAACAGTTGTAAAGAAGGAAAAACTTAAGTCAAAAGAACAAATATCACATCAGCCTAGAGTCTATCACTCGTTTGCAGGACCATTTGCTACATATGTGTGATGTGAGTCATTTCTTCTCAGACTCATTACTTTAGAAAAGATAATTAACTAAATGAAATTTATCCTATAAATTGCTATTTAGACACTGAGAAATTATACTGAGATACACCTTAAATGTCCACATAAGAGTATGCATATTCATATTCCAATACTGCTCTTAAGTATCTTTGGTGACATCCAAATAGGTTCTTGCTGAATGATCTCCAAACAGCATCATCTATAAACATATATTCTTATCTTGCTTCACAAAGCGAGTATCTAGCACAAAGAATTGTGACTCTAGAGGCATATTTGGGACTCTGGGAACTACAAAATGAAATTTTCATCAGAAAAGCATGACAGATTTTATAATCCAGGTTATATGGATGGAATAGGATTTTTTCCCATTCTTAAGCTTATGCTGTGTCCATAGAACACTGAGAAGTACTTTTTGAATGGTCTCTAATTTAATCTGCAATTTTTATGTGCCTGCTCTGTCCTAGGGATAAGTCTTACTTAGGGATACATTATTAATACATAAGAAAGTTCTTAGCCTTATGTAGTTAATAATCTGTCAAGCGTGAAAGTAAATAGTATGATAGTTGTGAGACGGTATGAGTAGTAGTATATTAGGGATAAACTCGGGGTGTAGGAAGACGGAGGAGGAGACCTAATCCAACCTGAGTGTGGGAGGTCAGGAAAGCTTCCTGGATGGCATCCAGGCCCACCCCAAAGATGAGAAGGGGTTCGCCAACAAAGACGGGGGCAGGTGCTTTTTATATAGTGTACAGTGTGGTTAAAGGAAACAGCTGAAATTCCTTCAGATTTTTTATTTTGATTTACTTAGTGGGGGGAAAACTTATAATGAGATTGAACATTAATCACAGTTTTCATTGTTCTATCCTCTCGTTTCAGGGACAGAAGGGAAAGCCTCTAAATTCATTATCTAAAAAATGGGGCTCTTTTTTTATTGATTCCATTTCGGAAAATACAGAAGACTCCTTGGTTTATACATGGTCCTGTAAGAGAATCAGTACTTACAGCACTATTGCAATTCCAAGTATTGAAGCAATAGCAGGTAAGGGGGGAAATATTTATAAGGCTTTACCTGTTACTGGACAATAATGACCTTAATTACTAGAATTCTTGCCTTTACAAAAAGAAAATCTTCCCATGACATTTGTTTTTCTGGGGAAACCTCTAGATATGGCAACCTAGGTAAATAGGACCTGTCCATCTCCTGGAGCCAATGACAAAAGCTGTACTTTTTTTTAATCTGCTTGGAGTCATAGGATAAAGGTAGAAAAAAATTACCAAGACAAGAAGCTAAGGAGGTCAAGGGGGTTGACTTTGGGGATGCTTTTCCCCCTGAGCATTTTGCTGATTCAAGAGAGAGTCCCAAAGAAAGGGAGTGGGTGGGTCATTTAGTAACTTTGTGAGTCTACAGGGATAGAAGGTAGAGGGTCGAGCCTGCCAAAGGAGAGATGGGCCTGGTGGACTCTCAGTCTGTGTTGAGACCCTGAAGGAGTTTACCGTAGAGTAAGGATGAATTAGAAGTAGGACTGAAGCTCAGCTTTAAATAAGATGGATCCCTAAAATTGGATGCAGAAGATTCTAGATTGGTAGTATTCCAAGGCACCTTGTAGAAACCAATGAATATTCTCTTGAGGAATATAACATCCTAGGACTCAGATATGTCTAAAAACACTGTAAGGTTCAGCATATAATGAAAAATAGTCACACAAGGGTATGAGACTACACTAACAGAAATAACCAAGGTCACTATGGTCAAGTACAGAAATGAAAGAAATGAGAAATTTGGTAGAAACATAAAACTACAAAAAGAATGGAACTTTTAAAACTGAAATATGAAGAACTTAATGGATGCGTTTAACAGCAGATTAGACATAGTTGAAAAATGAATTAGTGCACTGGAAAATAGGTCAAAAGATTTTTAGACTGACCAAAACGGAGGAAATGTTTCTCCAGAAGACCTATAGGGAAGTAAATACTGAAGGATGTTGCTCTTCTAGCAAAAGAAAGAGTGATCCCTGTTGCAAGACTGGAGATGCGAGAAGGAACATACAGCAACGAAAGGATAGACAAGTGAATGAATTACAATGAATATTTACTTCTGGAAACAATAAGGAAATTAAGTCCTATGGGGTTTAAATGGAGAATTTAAAAACATGGCAATAATGGCATTTAAGTCCCAAAAAGGGAGACAGCTGGAGTAAAGTGTTCTAAATCCTTGTATTATATGGTAAAGGCTGAGAGTATGATAGTGATAAGTCAAAAATGCATGTTGTAATCAAAAGAACTGTAATGGTATACATACTGAGCTAATTATGTAAAATAACTTTAAATCCAAAAATAAACAATGAGAGAAAAAGGAATATTAAGAATAAGCAAGATAAATGGAGAGCATTCAGTAAAATTATAGATTTAAACCTGAATAATTACATTAAATACAGGTGGTTAAATACTCCAATTATAACCCTGAATGAAATAACAAAACCCAACTCTGGGCTGTAAATTCTGGTTTCAGAAATGGATAACAAAGTCTGAGCTATTCCCCAGGGCCCTTCTCCTCCCTGTTTCCTCCGTACCGGGAAACGGCGGGCATATCCACCCCGCTTTACAGAGGTGTGTGCTTCTGCTTGCTCTTGGTGTCCTGAAGTCCCCTTCAGAATTTGGGGAAGGGCCTGGGAGCAAACCGGCAGAGTCCGTTTCTCCACCCCTTCCTTTACAGCCCCTCAGTTTTTCTTCGCAGCCCTTCACGATGGCAACGCCTCTGCTGGTTTTCCTGCTGCTAGTAACTGCGCCTCCCCCGGGCGGGGTTCGTGGCTAAGGGAAAAGCTGTGGCTGATCGCAGGCTCACACTGCCTGCCTGCGCCTCCTTCCCAGGAGTGCTGTGTTCTCAGGGCTTGGTTGTCTCTCCAGCTCCCCAGTGACCTTGACGTTTATATTTTACCCAGCTTTTCTAGGTGGCTCAGCTCCAGTTTAGAAATGAAAAGTCTGAAGTTTTTTAAACCTCAGATTCTTCTTTCTTAAATTGGGGGTGAAAATACCAGGTTTTGTTTCCTCCCGCACAGGAGGGATGTGAAAGAAAAAGCAGGATGCTTAACCGATGATGATGGCGATGACCCTAACATATGTATGACCTTCTGAAGGTCCACCCTCTCTGCCAGTATACAAATCCAGTATATGTCAATATATCCCACTCACTGAAATAATGTCTCATTCTCATTGGTCTCAAATGAGTGGTTTATTCTTTTATTTTGTTCTATGCCTGTACACACAACGTTAAAGAAAGATAACCTAAATATCTCTCTTCCCTTTTACCAGTTATTTTCCTTTTAAAGAAATGGACCTTGCAATGTGAAGGAAGGGACCAGCCCAGATTTAAACTACTGTTTTCAATTTTTATATTTTACTCTTCCATTTTTTTTCTAAGTAGTTCAAATTTATAGTGAGAGAGGAGGGTGGCTGATGATGGAAGTCACTGAATTATTCTAAAGTACCTAGATAAAAACTGTTCAATAGGCTGTGGTTGTGAAATAGTAAAAAAGTCAGAGAAAAGTGAATCTCTGTTATTCCAAGACTTAAATATTTCTCCAAAGAATTTGAAAATGACGCCTCTTTATCTTCTGTGGTAATCAGAAGATACCCCTCCTTACAGAACAGTAACATCAGTGCTCTCCCATTTTCACTTTCCAAAAGCTTTCCTGCACAGCACCCTGGAAAAGAACTTGTTAGGGCCTTTGTCTTCTTTTTCTCAGGAGAAAATATTAAATAGGACTTACCAGTCAACGGAGCTGAACAAGTATCTATTTTTATGGGGGGGGAAGAATGAGAGTTGATATGTCACTTTCCATTGTTGATGTTGGTGTCCAAGACACTTCCTCAAAAAACTAAGTGTAATTTTGTCAGTTTTTAAGTTAGCACTCATTGCTATGATCACATTCTCATCAAGTTATCTCTCACACAGAACTTCAAGTTATTTCAGTAACATATTCAGGAAAGTTGGATACTACTGTGTAATTTACCTCCAAGTAAGAAAAATGGCTGGAAGGAAAATAATGCAGCGGCCATGGTTTTAGACATGTTGAAGATAGAATCGTTTTATAAATGTTACCCTGCTAATATCATTTATAGAAAAAAGCCCCAAGTTGTTCTGTGTTATGTTATTTTACATTGAACTTACTATTTAAGAATGTATGTTCATTTTGGTTCATTTCATTTCATTGTTATATCATATGGTTGTTACTATGGTATATTTAGTACACAGAGTAATAGAACATTGTTGTGGTAAACAGGAATTTGGTTCTCCATCTGCAGTTTTGTTTTCTGCCAAATAGTCAGCACCCAGCAATGGCTTTCCTATGACAGCAATGCCGATGTTTCCTTCTTACTGAACCGCCAGTCTAGAGACCCTTCTTTTAACAGAACAATCATCTGATCTCAGCTTGGCTATTTCATAGCCAGATTTCTTAATAGTTGTGTACCTTTTTGACTATGTGGGAGAAAGAATAAAATTTTTGTATTAAATAAGATAGGAGGTGAAAAACAAACCTGATAACTCCCCCTGTGCCTCTAAAACCTTTTGTATTCACATAATGTTTCTTTATTCATGGATATCCTGGTTAGACTTGGTTACCTCACTGCCACTTAAATGCACAGAAGCCATTTTTATAGATGTTATAAAAGTTCACACTTATTAGTCATATACATTATAGTGGTGACTGGTTCATAAGCATTTTGATAACATAATCATTTTTAACTTTAGAATAATAGCTACACAGAGACCTACACATTTACTTTAGGAAATACAGAAAAAGATGGCTCACTCAACTCTTAGCCTGTATCATTTAGTGGCTTATTAGAACTCCAGGGCCTTAGATGTATAAGTTTAGAAATTCAGTTTTATCAGTTTACTTTCCAGTGCCTTTAATGCATGTCTCAAAATACACTCCAGCGAACTGAGCAGTGAAGAGCTATGGAATTCTCTTGTACTGAATACTTTTCTGTTAACAGTGATCTTAGCTGTCTCTGGAAGCAGAAAGGTCGTGTTCCTTCTCCCCAACCTCTAGCACTAGTTTTCTCCTCATAAGGATTAACTGCTTGGGCCTCTTGCATTTAATATAAAGTAAAAATTTTATGCTAGTGTCATTCTCAAAATACTTAGTACTACCAAATGATGCCTTGTGAAATTTGTGAAGTAAGGATTGATTACTGCCCAATATCTCTCTGCATGTGTAATGAGTACCATAACATGACATATATCATGATGTTTCACTTGTAATATTTCTGGTTATGTTGCCCTAAAGAAATTTGGGAAGAAAATATCCATTTGAGATAATAACTTTTGAGAGACTTATATGAAACCGTCACAGTGTCCCACCATCAATAAAGATGTGCTCTCTCCTGACCCCTGTGGCCATATGTGTGTGTGTTCATGTCATGCTTAACATCAGCAAAGATGTTATGTGCACCCTGGCTGGTTTGGCTCAGTGGTTAGAGTGTCAGCCCTGGGACTGAAGGGTCAAGGGCACATACCGTGGTTGCTTATCAAAGCTGCTACATTGTACACATTAGAACCCTTATTTAGCTAAGCATTCAAAGATTATTCTTAGGAACTTTTATTACTAAGGGCTATGAAGATTATTAGTTCACGTTTACCAATTACATGAACCTCCCAGCAGGCCTGAGAGATTTTTAATTTTAAAAAAATGAGATGTTCATCCTTATTTTATGTATGGAAGGTACAACTTTTATGCATGGAAGGTAAAACATTACACTCACTAGTTTGAGCTCTGAAGGTGATTACATATCTCTAAATGTAATTTGACTTTAATCTTGTAAATTTTATAGGGAAAGACATCTATACTCTTCATCCTAGGTATAACCTATCCAGGTGATAGAAGAAATGTTAAACTTATTAAACTCTAAAAAATAAATTTTATTATCAATGACAGTGAAATTTTGATGTTTATATTTATGAAAGGCCTTCTGGGATTGCAGAATAATTAAATTATGTGGTGGTTTTTTTCCCCCCAGATTTACCCCTGGACTACAAGTTTACAACATTCTCTTCAAACAAGTCAAAAACAGCTGGCTACTATCCAAACCCTCCATCAGTCTTATCAAATGATGAAACACTGGCAACCAAATAATGTATATTTACTGAAAAATGAAGAACCATATATGCAGCAAATGTACTGTAAAATGTTAATTTTAAAAAAATATACTGTAAAGTGCTTTATAGGAAGAAATTCCTAATGAAAACTGACCAAGAAGTTGATGTTTTTCCATAGGTCGTCTTTCTATAGATGCCCAACAACTCTCATTGTATCAAAATCTCAGTATCTTAGAACTGAAAAGAACCTTACTGATATTTTATATACCAATAGTTCTAAGATTAGAATTCACCTGGAGGGACACACACATATTTTTACACCTATGCCTAGACCAGTGGCTCTGAAAGTGTGATCTCAAACCACTAGCATGGCATCGCCAGAGGATTTGATAGAAATGCAGATTTACAGGCCTCACCCCAGACCTACAGAATTAGAAACTCTGGAAATAGGACCCAACAGTCTGTGTTTAATAATAATGTGTTTCACACTAAAGTTTGAGATCCACTGGCTGGACCCTAACCTCCAGAGATTGGTTTATTTAGTCTGGGGATATAGATGAGCATTGACATCTTTTATATGCCCCAGGAAAATTCAGCCAGAATTGAGAACTGACCTACACCTTCAGTTTATACCCAAGGCCACTGAGTCCAGTGAGATTAAATGACTTTTCCAAGCTATCAGGTTTTATACTATTCTTTTGTTTTCCAAAGAAGGAATGAAGACATGATTTCTTCTGATACCACACAGCCAGTATGGGACAGATGATACCAGAAGCCAGCTACTTCAACCTCCAATGTCACCCATTAGGCTTCTCCCTCTCCCCTAATAATGTTAAAGGCTGTTTAATTCATTTTCATTCACTTTAAAGCATGTATTCTCAAAAGGAAAAAAAATGGTTCTTAGGGTGAAAAAAATAATAGTGCCATGGATTATGGCATCCCAAAGCTCAACATTACCCAATAAAACCTTATTCCTTAGTATTACTTTTTCTCATTAAGGAGAAATATAATTTAAAGTTGAGTTAAATTTAATTTTTCTCCTTGGAAGCTGGGGTAATAATGAAAAAGAAAAGAAAAGGTTGAGAAAAACTGCTTTAAGAGGATTTATGGTTATATGACAATCCAGGATTATTGTGTTCTATGTGCTGTGCATAGTCATATTAGTAGCTATTTGTTGCAAGATGTTTGGAGCCAGATAATGTTTACAGTATAAATCCTGGCTACTCTTGATGCTGTAATTTCACTCTGTCCATTGTGAACAGTAACAGAAAACATAGTCACTATCATTATTTTACTTGAACTGTAGTAGAGAACTTAGCATATTGATGCATACAATGAAAAGATAGGTATTTTGTTAAAAAATTTTAAATGCTCAAAAACAATCCCAAATATGTTATGGGGCTGACTATCTCAGGGTAGGTAAACAGTTACTGAAATTAATTCCTCAAAATCAGTAACTTCCTTTGATATCTACTAATAAGAATATAATGTGTTTGAAATTGATTTCCAGAATCTCATTGGACGATACTGAGCATACACAGTCAAGCTCAAGGCTGAATGATAGATGCTGTCTCATGTAGATTTTCAATACACATTTGATTTCTTTTAAAAAAATAAAACTATTTTTCCTTACACGTTTATTTTGTAAATGGCAAAGAATAATACATCTTTAAATGCTTATAAACTACTGTTGTTAATATAAAAAGTGAGAACCCCAAAATAAGAAGTTAACTGCCCTTTCGGGCCACTGAGGAGTGAAAAAAATTCACTCAAGTCAGAAAGAAGTTCTAGTCATACTTTTACTAATATCTGTCTAAAGAATCTAAACAAGTTAACCACCTAATTTGACCTTAGTTTTCCTCATCTTGTTGAAAGAGAAGGTTAGAGTTTATTTCCAAGTTTCCTTCTACTTTTCTATCAGGGACAGTCAGTGATAATTATGAATGCCGTTTTTCTGTTGGACTGTAATTAGACTTTAAAAATGTTTATTTCACTTCTAACAAGTGCCAGTGTTTCTGATTGGACATGAAGATTTAAAATCATCCAAAAATGACATTATAAAAATTAAAAATAGAATCTTAGAGAAGAAAAGCTCTATATTCTTAATAAAGTCATGAGTAACAAAGCAGGAAAATTGTGCAAATAGGCAGAAGACTTAAGTTTAATATTATCAAACAGGCAAACATTCATCATCTAAAAGATACCTAAAAGTAATTGTGAAGGGAACTGCGATTCTCTTTGCTGGCCACTGTTGATCTCATCAGTAGAGGAAAGATCTGAATGACACAGTGATCAAACAATGTGTCAGAATTTGGTATTTAGAATATTGAGGCAGGGGAAACTTCAATTAAACCTAGAATTACAGTCTAAAATCAACTACTGAGTTTGTTAAACTCTAATTTGAAATCAAGTATTATTTCCCCACCAGTTCACATCCCACAATAACTATATGTATTTAAAGAATATGCATGTACATATACGTGTATATGTATACACATACTTTTAGTGAACTTGTTTGAATGGAAAAAAAATAAAATGTGATTATATAACAAACCAGCAAAAACTGGAATGTGAAACTATCTCTTTGGATATAACTGACTAAATGTTAGAATCACATGAATAGTTCTTTTTTTTAATGTGATGTTATAGTAGTATTCACTTCCCTCTTCTCAGGCTCTTGAAAACAAGGTTATATCATAGAGTTGGCATCCAGATTAGTGCAAAACTGGGATACATTTGAGAGAGAACTTCCCCAATGTGGTCCAGTTGCTTCCCTTAAAAATCCTTGAGCATGGTCCAGTCTACATAGGGTGAATTCAAAAAGGTAAATTCTTGTCGGTCTCTAAATCCTCAGAAATATGGTGAAAAAATATAATAGTAATGAGTGCTGCCTCCTTATCAGGCTACTTTACAACCTTGTTTACTCCCTACAGCAACCATGTGAGGATTGTATAATTACTAAAATTTTACAGATGAGGAAATTAAAATTCACAGAGTTTATATTATATGTTCCCTCCAGGTTATAGTTACTTAGGAACAGAGTCTCTACTTGAGCCCAAGTTCGACCCCAAAAATCATTCTCTTAGTTGACTGGTAAAATCTCCCAGCATTGGATCTAGATTGGGGCAAATTCTTGGTCTAAAACCACACTTCAATTTAATAATCACCATGCTAGGACATGTAGGGATTAGAAATGAAGACACAGGCTCTGTCCTAAAATAACTTGTAATTTTATTTAAAATATTAAATATCTATAAGAGAACTTACCCGGAAGAGTAAAACAGAGAACCAGGAATCACAGGAGTCCTACAATGTGTAATGAAGTCTGCTCTGGAAGCCGCATATGCTAAAGGCATCAATAAGCAGATCTACTCTTTCTTCATAGTCAAGTTCAAATGTTCACCTTGAATACTTAGATGTTCCTCTTTGTGCTGATGAAACCAAAATGGAGAAGGAATAATGAAAACTGATCCGAGGAAATTTAGTGGAAGATGGGCTATCTGGGCCTATCGCTGAGTTGGGTTATTACTTAAAATAACTAAAACACAGATTGCTTGACAATCAGGTTCTTGTACCAGGCACCTGTTCTCAGTCATTACCCGAGAAAACAAAACAAAAATACTTTATTTTGGCCTTAGTACTTTCTGGGTAAAGATCAAAGTTTAATAAAGTTTAGTAAGTTAGAGAGGGGATGCATTCCTAAAAAGGAATCACCATGTTGAATTTAAAAATATTCATTCTCTAAATTTAATAGATAACATTTTTTATACTTCTTAGCAACTAAATTGCATAATTATATTTAAACTTTTGGTGCATTTACTCCCATTGATGAAAGGAACAAACTGCTAATTTCATTCATTTATTTAGCAAACATCAAGATTACTTATGTAAATTCAGTAGTGTTTTAATCTGTAATATGGAATCCTGTATTAAAGTATTAAAAAGTACTCCTTTTAGAAACAATCCATGAATGGGTTAAGAATAACCATCTGAGGCTTGAATACACACATAAAGAGGGTTTTGTTTTTATGCCATGTTTAGTCCAGTTGTCTGTGATAAAGAAGGTAGCCTGAGATCAGAAAATTTAAGAGTCTGTGACTTGCATCTTAGGCGGTTTAACTTTCTGCACCTCTATTTTCACCAGTATTTAAATAGTAAACCTTATGTTAGGACTATAAAGTTAACATGAGAACACACGTGGAAGTGCCTGACATATCTTGAGATTGTGAAGCCAGGGAATGTGTATCTGAAGTAAAATCAGATCTCCAAGGCTCAAATTGAGACTCCACGGGGCAGGGAACTGAATAATTAAGAATACAGGTAATTTGGGGGAGGGAGGTTGTTTTTAATAATGAAAACTGATTTAAGAAAACTTGAGTCACCTGGAGATAAAGGAGAAGCAGCAACAGTAGTAATGGGGAGGGGCAGCTGAGTCAAGAAGGTCGAAGCCTTTTGTGGGTAGCCCGGCCTGTGGGTGTCTGAGCTGAATGCCCAGAAATGGTAAAAGACTGTAATGTCAGGACTGGGGAAATAACGAAGTATCACTACTACTCACAGGGCAATGTGGACTGAACTGACCAGAAGGATAATATGTACGTCTTCAGTGACAGGAAGAGGAGAGAACCTCTTAGCTGGTTTGGAGGTCTGCATAAATAAAATTGGGGGGGGGGGAAGGGGGGGCAATGCAAAGAAATGAAACGGCTATAGGAGTGAACTGTTAGTAAGTACAACCTAGAGAATGCCTAATTGAGTCTTAAATTTTATTAGACTAAACGGAACAAAAATCAAGTTAATCTCTGACAAATAAATGACACCCGCCTAACAGAAAAATCACTGAATTGAAAAAGTAAAATGAATATCATAAAGGGAATTTAGGATTAAGATGAGCACAGAACTAGCAAAAGAAAACTTAGCTAATACTTAAAGTTCTCCTGGCTTAGAAAAATTACATGTCAGCAAGTAGAACTTGCAAGAAAGAACTGCCCCAAGAGTCAGCAAGTCTGTTTAACTATAGATTTTTCTCTAACTAGAATCAGTAATTTGGGGCCATTGTCAAATATTTGTTTAATGGCTAAAAATACTTTGTCATTTTCAGATCTTGCAGCACCCATGCCGTCTCTACTCCAGAGAATGCACAAGTAGTTGTGTCCCAAACCTTCATGGAATAGCTGCTGAACAGCAGAACAGTCCTTGTAACTGAAGTTGTGAGATCTGATATCACTTGTTTCTAGACAATATATTTCAATTTTTTTGGTTCTTTTTTTTAAAGCACCACACTGTTGTAGGAAAATAATTTAAGTAGCACTTACAGAATACATAATGGTTAATTCTTCCCAAAGTCTATCTTAAGCTCATTAAGAAAAGAATGAGACCAAGGGGGGGAAGGAAGATACGTGGTTAACACAAACATAGTAGACAAGGATGCTGCAAGAACAGGTTTCCGCGGAGAACAGTGACAGATCAACACAATGGTGCTTTAATTTCTACCAAAACCCTCACTGGTTGTAAAAAAAAAAAAAAAAAAAAGTTATGTCCATGAGTATGCAGCTGCAGTGGGCCTATTTACCAAGCAAAAAAATCTTAGAAAGTTTGGTGGCTGTTGCCGTTTTTAACCTCCAGGATGATGCCTACTGTGACAAGTGATAACTTGAATAATTTCTCAACCTTATATTAACCTAGACAACAAAGACAGAACTTTATTAATTTTTATTTTGATGAAAACAAGAAATACAGCAGACTGACATTTTATTTTTCCTTCGAGCACATAGGAGAAGACAAAAGTACTAAGGATCCTTGCTTAGTGTCACAGGACAATTCTACAAGCACTTACAGTGGTTAGGAACAAAATATCAAGTGCCACGTTACTACTGGGGCAAGAAATAGCAAATAAAGGGAGAATTATGTTTTTCTTCTTGAGAATACTTTCACAAGACAGTGACATTTGCAAAATTTCAGACTCTTCAAAGATCACATTCACATATTTCTAAGGATAGATCCATATATGAAGAGAGACCAGAACAAGCTGATATATTAATAATATTCACAGAAGTCGTCATACTGCACAGGAAGCAAATTTGATATTTTTTGCACACATTTCTCAATTACAAGCAAAAAGCAGGCCTGTAAATGTCAATTTTGCCAGCAAGCAAAAATGGAGAAAGGAATTAATAGGATTTTACTCAAACAGTGAGATAAACATATACCACCAATCTTCTACATATAAAAGGTCATTCCTAGAATTAGAGAGAAAACATCTAGACTTGCATTTATGTGTATAAAAATCTGGTGAATTCAAGGATATAGGAAAAATCAGGGGGAAATCCTCTCCCAAGCATTCTCTTTATATATCAACCACTTTGATTCTCCCACCTCTCCAGGAGAGAGCCTTGGGGCCTCCCCTCCTCCCCAGTCCTCCCTGACTGCCTTTCTAAGCCCACTCCACAGCAGGCTCATTTCTGTTTCCAGGCTTTCAGTTTCTCCAGCCTAGAGCACCCTCCCCAGTGCTCTGTGTCCAGACTCACCAAGCCCTGGGGAACTTCAAAGACAGGAAAAAGAATAAGAGTGGATGTCATCAGCACCACATCCCTCCATAAGTAAGATAGGCCTGACAGCACTGTTGTCTCACCTACTAGAACTTGGTCTGAAAATCCAGGCAGACTCCACATAACTCCTTACCCCTAGGAGGAAGACAGCATCTGCCACAGTGCAGACAGCAGCCTCCCCCTCTTTTGTTAGGACAGAAGCAGGGAAGAAAATGGGGAAGCTGAGGACTGAGAGCCAAGGGCCAGGCAGTAGGATGGAGGCCCTTGGGACATCAAGGCTATAATTAAATAGTACAGAACACAGACTTGACCCGCAAAATGCTGCGTTGGGGTTATTTCTAAGTGGTCCAAGGCCCCAAAAAAGAATTTCCATGTTTAGAAAAGTGGAGTCAAACTAACTTTTGGTTGCTTTAGATCACAACCTGCTGTGAGTCGCTCTTGAACCCATCACTGTGAAGCCCTTCTGTCTCTCCTCCCAGCTTCTCAAACTACAGATCAAAAAACACAGGTTTTGGTAAATGCAGAGAAAGGATGAGGTTGTCACAGTTGGCCTAAAGGAACACTGCCCGTAACTAAACAATTTACCTGTAAGTCTCCCTTTGAAACATTGAGACCTTGCTAAAGGAAGTGGTGGAGACATGAGGGCAGAAGAGGGCAATGCTATCTGGAGAACCTATTATACAGTAGCTTTCTCCCTCTGGACACAATCAAGGAGAGAGCAAATTAAAGAAAAAGTCTGCTTTGCCGGTTTTGTTTGTTTCTCAACTGTAACTGCTTCTGAGGGAGGAAGGGGGGAGGGAGAGGAAAGGGGGACTATGAGACAAGAGGGGAGGGAGA